AAATTGTAAGGAGATACATCAAGGAATGTGTCCAAATACTTAGTAAGGAGACACCTCCCAATTCTCAACTCATCGATAAAATGACTTGCAATTTTTATTTTTATTTTTTATAAACAACATATATACTCCTTAGAATTAGGCAATCAATATCTATATCATGGTGGGGATAGTTCTTCCAAAAGAAATTATTTGCATTCACAAAAACTTGAACCTAAGATTTTATTTAAGCGAAATTAAATATTTACCACTTGAACCAATTCAAGATGTGTCTTTCAAATCTCATACCTTCTTAGGTGCTTTCACTTTCTATCCTTCTCTTTCCTAAAATTTTCAATAGAGCATTGAACTGTTTCCCCTCGGCTCTCGCTCTATTGTATTCTAATTAATGGTTACAACTAGATCTTGGATTGAAAACTATCAAAATTAAGAAGCATGACCTTTGGCTCTATGTTAATTTGAAGTGCATTAAAGATTCCACCACTTTAATTAGGGATGTACTAAAAATTCAAAAGAACCACATACCAAAGGAAAAAAAAAATTCAAAAGAACTGAGATATCATATTTTTAGAATCGGTTTACCGAACCACTTTATATGTAGCCAATTCTAAAAGCGTGTTGAGATATATAGTCCCACATTGGTTGTATGTGCAACTAATGTGGAGTTTATAAGGCCTTAGACACTCCCACCCTTTGAGCTAGCTTTTGGGGTGGTGTATCCCAAGGTTCTTTACATGGTATCAGAGCCTCGCCGCTCTCCACTTTCTCTTGTGGCGTTTCTTAGCACAGGTAGGCTCAGCCTGTTGCATTGTCCACTCTTCAAGCCCAATGGGCTCTTGTGTGAGGGGGCGTGTTGAGATATATAGTCTCACATTAGTTGTATGTGCAACTAATGTGGAGTTTATAAGGCCTTGGGCACTCCCACCCTCTGAGCTAGCTTTTGAAAAGCGAACCAGTTCGAGAACCAACTGATTTTTCAGTCTTTTAACTGCTGGATTTTAACTACTGCAATACAGAAACGAGAGAAGGGCACCAAATTTGAAGAAGGTCAATTAAAGTGCAGATAATTAGTGAACCAGCTTCAATTGTAGCTTCATAAAAGTAATGTGTGCATCATTGCGTCTAAAGAGAAATCAAATGTAGGGGCACAAATGTCAAATAAGCACCTCAGACAAATCTAACATGTTACCACCTAAATGAATATGCACAAATGTCTTATGTCCATGTACAAAACTCAAGGCTTTTCACAAATTTTATAGTTCAGAAGGCAAGCAATAAAAATAATACCCGAGCCAAATAGCCTCCCAATGTTGGATCAATGATTAAACCTATGCCCTAAGCTACACTGACCTAAAAGTATATTATACTTTGAATTATTATAATAGAAAAATAGTTCTAACTTCTAAGAATAGAGAGTAGACATCAGTTGATGAGCCTTACAGTCTGGAGCTTAGTGTTTTTCTTGATATAGGCCTACTAAAAAAAGGATAATATAAATGGAAGTTTGTAATTTTGTATGAACGGGTATTCAAATGCACACGTTCTGAAAATGTATATTGGTGCTACGGGATGAAACTTTAAATTGCTAATTATTAGATGTTAAAAAATGATACTTTTACTAGCCCAAGAAAACCAATTAAGCTTCCCAAGAGAAAACTCATGATCATTGCCATCCAAAAACTTATGCTAAGGCCAAATAATGTGTTGGAAATGACACTGAAATCAGGTAAATATTCATAATTACATGAAACCGCACAGTAGCGTTTGAAAGAAAGCATCCAATTCATTGACATATATGCCTACGTTGTGATAGCTCCTATAACTATAACAGGTTTTTGACCATAATGTCCTCAAAATATATAGGTCAATGAGGTGTCGAGCTTCAATGCAGATCCTGCGATATTTTCAATCACACATACATCACTAATAAACACCTTATAACAATGATTAAAAAACTAAAAGTAATTTTACCCACATAATCAACTGACGAGTCTCCAATTTATTATGTATTAAGGGTTAATATGAGCATGAAATTGAATTAAAAGTAATTAAAAGTAATGAAAATTATAATTAAATTGTTATTTTATTTTCAATAATATTCTCATAAGATTTCTTATATTTTGCAGTAATTTCAGCTTAATAAAGAGATAAATTGGAGAGATCAAGTAGAGTTGCTTTGGATTTCTGAATCATTCAAGATCTTATCAAATCTTCGTTTGAATATTTTTAAGGAAATTTTTCCATTAAATTAAAAAGAGGAAGATTTGAAGGATTTGGTCAAAGATATGATTAGAAGATTTGAAGGATTTGATCAAAGATATGATTAAAGATTATAGTGAAGATTCCATTGAAGATATTATGGAAAATCAAAGATATGGTTTTCATCCCTATAAAAAGGTATCTCTTGGAAATTCAAAAGAAGGAGACAATTCGACGGAGGCATCAATATTCAGATGAGGAGACTCACGCTGGAGATCCGGATTACGGAGAACTTGAAGATTGGAGCATCATTGCTTCTTTCTCTTCATCTTCTTCTTTTCTTTTCTTGTTATAAATTCCTTTTATTATTTTAATTTGTTTAAGCCAGCTATGTCTGGCTAATTTCTTTTTGTAGTTGGGATCATGGACCCAATGTGAATTCTTTATATTTTCTGTATTGTTTTTATAAGTTAATTCGTTAGTTTGTTTTATTCTGCCTGTGTTAATTTTTTCATATCCTTATTAGAACATATCACTCTAATTATAGGGCTCACAATAGACATATTGGGGTTTTAATTTGGACAAGGGTAGAATAACAATTTGTGCATGACCTAGACATAGGCTTACAGACTTTTAATTCATTTGTTTAATGCTTAGTTCAAGAGGGATTACTAGGACACTAGGATTCTAATTGGGTTAAAGGGATGAAATCACTAAGACATTAGGGTTCAACTATTTTATAGGAAAATAATGAATTGTTTGAGCAAACAAATTAGTTAATTATAAAATACAATATAGGAATATATGGGAGGATCGGAGGTGAAGTGTATCCTAGCTACAGTCTTTTTACAATTCTTCATAACTCATATTTTCTGTGACATTCTTGATAATTCTTGCATGCGTTTTAATATTATTGTTGTTAAAACTCTGCTTTTAAAATTACAACAATCAATCACTTTCACAATCACACCAATTTTCTTTTCCAACTTAAGAGGAATAGTTAAAGGGTAAAGTGTGTGTCATTTTAAAGGATGTAAAGTTGTGTTATTTTAAGAGAGAGAAAAAGATAGATAAAGGAGGAGAGAGAGTTGACAAAAATATAAAGGTGTGGGTCCCACCTCTTTGTGAGAGTGAAAGGATATAAGTTGTGTCATTTAAAAGGAAAAACACTTTTCCCATAGTTAAATTAATATTTGGTGCATTAATTCTCGAGGGAACGATATTTGCTTATCACTTTTATTTCTTGAAACGAACGGTATACTTGCCGATTCCACAACAAGTTTTTGGCGCTGTTGCCAGGGATTAATTACGCCAGTATTATTTTTAACTTTCGATCTTTAAGATTGGACTTTTATTATTTTTTTTATTTTTTATTTAATTTTTTTAAATTTTTTTTTATTTTTTTTTTAAAATTTAATTTTTATTTATTTATTTCGGTTTTTTATTTTATTTTATTTTTATTTTTAAAAAATGTATTAATTTTTATTTTACCCTTACTAACTTTTTTTTTAAATTCTGGTTTATGCGAGGTACAGTTGATCCAAAAGACTTGCTTTACGAACCGGAAATTGAAAAGATAGCAAGGGAGAATAGAAGGCTCACTAAGGAGCGAAAAGAAAAAGAAAGAGTAAATCGATCACTCTTCCAAGGATAAACATCAACTATGGTTGAAGAAATACCACAAGAGGATACCATGGAGCAATTCCTCAACCCATCATTTGCACCTGTCTCTTCTGTAATCATCATTCCACCAATCCAGGCCAACAACTTTGAAGTTCATCCGGCTTTCCTGTAGCTATTCCAGAGCAATCAAGTTTCAGGGGAAGACGACTATGATCCCAATCTTCATGTGTCGAGATTTTTGGAACTATGTCGGCTTCACAAGCATAATGGAGATAGCACTGATGTTATTCGTCTGATTCTTTTTCCTTTTACATTGAAAGGAAGAGCAAAAGAATGGCTGAGGAATGAACCTGAAGGGAGCATCACTTCATGGGATGACTTGGTGGTTAAATTTAGAAAGAAATTCTTTACTCTTTCTAAGTTCATGCAGAAGAAGCGAGGGATTGATCATTTCTCTCAACATGATGGTGAATCTTTTGGCGCAGCTTTGAGGAGATTCAAAGGCTTATTGACCGCTTGCCCACAATATTCTTTTCAAGCAGGAGATAAAGTGAGGCTCTTCTACCATGGTATATGCCTTGCTGATAGAAAATTCCTGAATGCGGCTGCTAATGGATCATTAGTTAACAAAGCTCTAGCTGCATCTCTACAACTCATTGAAGAATTAGCTACTGAAGAGAATGAGGATGTACCCAGCTTCGAAAGAGGGATTCTGCAAGTGGATAGACTTGACATCTTGATGACTGGTCAACAGAGTTTGCAAAAGCAGATGGAATCTCTCACAAATATCTGCCATCAATGCTGAGGAACCGGTAGTATGTGACATATGTGCTGAAGGACATTTGACTGCAAGCTGTCTGTTAGCTCAACCTTCAGAAGTCAACTATATGGGAAACCTGCAAAGGAACAACTACCAAGGCAGCAACAACACGGGTTGGAGGAATAACCCAGGTCTCTCTTACAATCCACAACCACAACAACCTGTTCCATCTAGCTTATTTTCAGCTTTGGAGAAATTGGTGGAGACTATGGCTTCAACCACCAATGCTTTCATTCAAGAGACAAGATCGAACTTCAAGACTCAAGAGGCATCGATCAAGAATCAGGAAGTTTCAATCTGAAATCTTGAAACTCAAATTGGACAGCTGGCCAAGCAATTGAATGAAAGAACTCCAGGGACAATGCCTAGTGACACTGTAGTTAATCCAAGAGAGTACTGTAATGCAATAACAACTCAGAGTGGGAAGGTGATTGAACCTCAAGATAAGCCAGCCAAGGTAGACCAAGATATGTGAAAGGAGGAGGAGACAAAAGAGAAAGATACTAAGAAAGAAGAGACTCCTAATTATGATGATGTAACATACTTTGGAGAAGCGATTAATCGTAATAAGAAAACTATAAAGAAACTTCCATCAGGATTCAGTCAACCAGATCCTTATGCAAAAGATCCATACCCTCTTCGGTAGAAGCAAGATAAAGAGAAGCAGCAATACTCGAAGTTTATGGAGATGTTTAAAAAGTTGCAAATTAACATTCCATTCTCCAAAGCTTTGGAGAACATGCCTTTGTATGCAAAATTCATGAATGGTCTCTTGTCAAACAGGCATAAGCTCAGAGGGATGGAAACGGTAGCTTTAACTGAAGAGAGTAGTGCTGTGATCAAAAAGGGGTTGCCGTCTAAAGTCAAAGACCCAGGGAGATTTAGTACCCCTTGTACGATCGGGAATGTTAAAGTAGGAAGAGCTCTATGCGATCTGGGAGCCAGTGTCAACTTGATGCCTCTTTCTTTTGCACGGTCTTTAGGGATAATGAAGATGAAATCTACCTTGATGTCTCTCCAATTTGCTGATAAATCCATCAAAAGACCGGAAGAAGTGCTAGAAGATGTCCTTGTGAAGGTAAATGATTATATATTTCCAGCTGATTTTATTGTGCTTAATATGGAGGAAGTTGACAACATGCCTCTCATCTTGGGGAGACCATTCTTAGCAACTGCTAGGACACTGATTGATGTGGAAAAAGGCCAGATGATCTTTTGAGTTAATGATGGTGAATTCAAGATGATTGTTTTTGAGGCCATGAAGCATCCTGAAGATAAACAAGACTGCTTTCAGATCGATGTAATAGAAGAAGCAGTTTCAGAGAAAATCCTTGAAGAAGCAAATACTTCCACTATTGAAGATCAGTTTGCAGACATTTTGCACTCCTCAGAGCTACTGAATGATGATCAACTAACTAACGTAGTCAAAGCTATCGATTCAACTGAAGTTTCAAATGCAAAGAAAGAAGAGCTAGTTGAATTGACTAGGAAACCTGAAGGCTGGTCAGCAGGTGCTATGTTCCATTGGTCTTCTTCTTCATTTCTTGAGCCAAGTTGTCACCTTTGCTTGATTTCTTCATCTCTAAACACTTGAGCTTTGTGTGAGTGGGCATTGTGAGGGTGCTTCATTCTCTGTGTTGAACCTTTGTGAGTGTTGGTTAGGGGCTGACTTCATAGTGAGGGCCAAAGGAACCATTGTTATGATGTTTTGAGGTTCAAGGAGGGACCTTTAGTGTGAAAGAACCACTCTTGATCATCATTTTTGTGTCCTTGTGAGTGCTGGACTTTGGGAGCTTCAAGTGAGCTCCAAGAGCATCATCTTTTGTTGTTTTGAGCTTGTGGTATGATCATCATCTTTGTTCTTGAGTTTAATGGTTTAAAAATGGAACCTGGATGCATGTAATGGATTAAAGTTGATAACTTAATGTTGGGTAATGTTTAAAACACCTTAAATCACATGTTTAAGCTTCTGGATGCTTGAAATGAACCACCTTTGGGAAGGATATCTCGCGAAATGCAGAACTACATTCTGTTGCGAAATATCCGGATATTGATATCCGGATATGATATCCGGATATGGGGATATGAATATCCGGATATTGGCAGAGAGATATCCGGATATTGATATCCGGATATGCCCCCGACAGATATCCGGATATTCTGGGTTTTCGAAGAACAGTAGCGTACTGTTCATACAGAACTGATCTATGGGTTTGTGGACCCTAGTTTGATGAAGTTGAACTTCTGTAATAATTATCTAAGTCAGAATCTAAGTGATTAAGGGCTTGTGGCTTTATGAGAAGCCTTAAGACGTAAAACGTAAAGAGAAGCGTTGTCTTTATATTTATGCTTATGAGCTATGTTTGTTGATATTATTGCTGGTCCAAATCAGATTGTGATTCTGCAGTGTTTGGACTTTGAGCATTGGTTCGACTCTTGGCTTGGATAGTTAGCTTGCAAGGTAAGCTTTCGTGTCCTTGATTTAGCCATTGTTGGTTCCACCATGTCCCATGGGGGTATAGTTATATGCATGCTGTGTTACATGCTTTGATATTTGAAATGCTTTTGAGCTGTTAAGTGCAAATGCTTATGATATGTATGTGGTGTTCACCCGATGGAATGTAAGCCTAAGGGTAGGTACGACAGGGTGCGTACTGTGTGGGTAATAGACGTATTCCTGCATTTCTCTGGCCAGTAGATTATAGCATTGACACACATGACATGATTATCTGCCATTTTACACTGTTTTTGGAAATGATGTTGATAAACTGCTTTTGAACTTATATTGCACATGTAAGTGAGCTTGGGGTGGAAGATCCATGAGGACCCCTTGTCTTACTGAGATTTCTTGTTTAGAGATCTCACCCCACGTTTGGAGACGCTTATTTCAGGTTCAGCTAACTCGGGGCTGATGTCTCTGGCGACAGGAGGCCGGAGCTTAGTTGATGATATTACTGTTTATATGCTGACATGGTTGGATGCTGGATATATCTGCTGATGTTATGTTTTTAGCTTGCTATCATTATGTTGTTGCCGTTGAGAATTCTGTTGGGCTTGTGCCTTATTTGGGTGAGCATGGGGATTGTCCATGCCACTTTGATTTCTGTTATGTTTAAGTTTAACTGAGTTGTATAAACTATCACGGCTGTCCGGTCTACGTGTTGTAGTTCCGTGACTAGAGACATATTTATGTTATTTAATTGATGAGGTATTTCAGTTAGTTGTCTTTTGCAATTTACATACAGGCAATGTTTTGAAAATGATTAAGTAATCATGTTGGTAATGATTATTGACGTCATAATTGAAAAGAAAAAGATATTCCACATTTTTAATTAAGCGCAGCTTAATACGATGATATGATAACATTACCGGATATTTACAGGGTGTTACATTTTATGGTATCAAAGCAATGGTTTGAGGGAAAAGCCTGTATGTATTGCAATAATTAGGATGCTTGGTTGTGTCTGTCTTGTGTGTTTGCTCCGTTGGGTTTTATTATGATGATGCATATGTGATCACGTTACGTGGGCCTGATCAACTCATAATCTGTGTAACTTGTGCAGAGTCATGGTAGGATCCAGGAGAACTCGCGAGACTGTTGAGGGTCAACCTGACCCAATCTTGACTGCATTGGCTGAGATGCAGGAGGCCACTAGATTGGCCAACGTGGCAATGATGGACGCTGCTATAGAAGCGAACCAGAAGGCCACAAAGGATGCTCTTGAGGAAAATCAGCTGGTGAACATGACCTTGATGAGGGTTATGCAGTCGCTGGACCAGATCTTCCGGGTCATGCATTGTACTGATCCGCAGAAGCTGATGTTTGCTACCTACATGCTGGAGGGAGATGCCCATGAGTGGTGGACGAACACCTCTCGTGCTTATGAGATGCAAGGTCATGTTATGACATGGCCATTATTAGAGGATTGCTTTCTGGGTCGGTACTTCCCGTACAATGCGCAGGAGAGGAAGCAGGGGGAGTTCGATAGGTTGGTGCAGGGCTCGTTGTCTGTTGACGAGTACCTGGCCAAGTTCAATGAGCTGGTGAAGTTCGCACACTTTTGGATGGCAGTGCTCACTCCGATGTTTTTAGCTGCTAAGTTCCACAGGGGACTTCGTGATTTGATTGCAGAGCATATTGCTGGAGCTGCTTCGAGAGATTTTGGTACACTGGTTCAGCAGTGTAAGGACATAGAGGATGTCTGCATTACAAGAAAGGCTAAGAAGGCAAAGATTGAGGAGATGAAGGGGACTGGTAGTTCCACTCCCACTTCCTTGAGAGACAGGAAGTTTGGTCCGAAGGGAAAGGGAAAACAGTTTGCGACTAGGCAGGCGCCTGGTCAGTTCAAGAGGACTTCTCCGCAGCAGGGGAGTTTTGCTAGAACTCCTTCCACTCCTCAATGTTCGAGGTGCGGAAAGGAGTATGTGGGACGTTGTGCTACGGGGCAGTTGGTATGCTTTCAGTGTGGCAAGGAGGGCCACTTTTCTAGAGACTGTCCGTCGTTGACGGTGAGAGCTGCAGCTGTTCAGGCAGTTCCTTTGCATATGGTTCCCTTGCCATCTACTTTGGCACCTGCAGTGCCACCTGCTACTGGACGTGTGTACACGTTGGACCACCAGCAGTCGGATAGAGCTCTGAACCTTGTCAGAGGTACTGTGTCTATTGGTGATTCATTTGTTGATGTATTATTTGATTCCGGGGCTACGCATTCTTTTGTTGCAACCCCGATTGCTTTGGGGCTTGAGTTGCCCATTGTTGTGCTTTCTCCACCGTTGCGGGTGACCACCGCCACCGGAGAAATATGTGATTCTACCACTGTACATCGCGATGTAGCGTTTCAGTGGGACGGCCGTGATTTCTCGGTAGATCTGATAGGATTGCCGATGGCCAACTTGGAGATTATTCTGGGCATAGATTTGTTGTCCAGAAACTGTGCTTTGATTGATTGTTGTGCTAAGCGCGTGGTGATGTCTCCGTGTGATTCCACAGCTAGTTCCTCGCCATATATTTCATTGCTGCAGGCTAGGAAGGCCTTGAGAGCAGGGGAATTTGGCTATGTCATGTTGGGAGGTTTGGTGAGTGGGACACAGGAGGATATCACTGGCTTTCCTGTGGTGAGGGAATTCCTCGGAGTATTTCCGGAGGAGATTCCTGAGTTTTCGCCTCAGAGGGAGATAGAGTTCTCCATTGATTTGTTGCCTGGTGTGAGGCCTATTTCATTAGCTCCATATCGGATGTCGCCACCGGAGTTGGCTGAGCTGAAGAAGCATATTGAGGATCTTTCAGCGAAAGATTTCATTCGACTGAGTGTGTCTCCTTGGGGAGCACCGGTCATCTTTGTGAAGAAGAATGGCGGGACAATGCGATTGTGCACCGACTACAGGCAGTTGAACAAGGTGACGATCAAGAACAAGTATCCCCTTCCTCGTATTGATGATCTGTTGGATCAACTCAGGGGTGCTTGCGTGTATTCGAAGATTGATCTCCGGTCCGGATACCATCATATTCGGGTGAAGTCGGAGGATGTCCCTAAGACCGTGTTTCGTTCGCGATACGATCATTTTGAGTATTTGGTGATTCCGTTTGGACTCACCAATGCACCTGCTGTGTTCATGGATTACATGAACAGGATTTTCCAGCCGTATCTGGATCAGTTTGTGATCGTCTTCATTGACGACATTCTGATTTACTCCAAGACAGAGAAGGAGCATGCAGAGCATCTGAGGATTGTTCTGCAAGTGCTGAAGGAGAAAAAGCTTTATGCTAAGCCTTCTAAGTGTGAGTTTTGGCTCAAATCAGTCAAGTTTCTTGGGCATGTGATTTCAGCAGAAGGAGTCACAATAGATCCCAACAAGATCGAAGCCGTGCTGGATTGGGAGAGGCCCAAGACAGTTACCAAAGTGAGAAGCTTCTTAGGTTTGGCAGGTTACTATCGGAGGTTCATGAAGGGATTCTCCACGATGGTTCTCCCTTTGACTCGCGTTACCCGAAAAGAGACTCCATTTGTGTGGACTCACGAGTGTGAGGAGTGCTTTCAGGAGTTGAAGGAGAGATTGACGACTTCACCTGTGTTGATCCTTCCTGATCCTGAAGAGCAGTTTGAGCTTTACTGTGATGCTTCTGGAAAGAGGCTGGGTTGTGTTTTAATGCAGTCTGGTAAAGCTGTTGCTTTTGCTTCGAGGCAGTTGAATCCTTATGAGGAGAACTACCCGACTCAT